TTCCCAGTAGAGTCCCTTTAAAGTTGTTTCGGCTTGGAACCGGCGCCCAGACCTGTCATTGCCCTGGAAGAGAAAATCCAAGACGCTAGCTGCGGCTTTCGCTGAACTTGCTGGTGGTTAGTAGGGAGCAAGGGAATGGAATTCCTATGTAATTAGTCCCTATATACCATATTCCCTCACTCCCTATTAAGCCCCCAGTAAGTGAAGTTGAGGAAAGTTCTGCTAGGATCAATATGTAGAAGTCAGCAGTAGACTTCAGAGTTTGAGGAATCAAGCCGATGCAACCTCTCCTACCACCAGACCCTATACCGTAGAAACAGAAACGCATATTATATGCATTCCCAAGCCCTAAAACTTAAACGAACCTCGTGGCTTTCGGGTGCTCACTCCCTGGGTGATTTCATCATCTTGGTAAGTAGTGTAGGGTCACCCCCTGTCCAGCTCTCAGCTCTGACTACCTGAATAATGTCAGGTAACAGCCATGATTCTTGAAACATCTCAACTGTGAACATCTACAGAATTATCCAAACCCCACAACCTAGAGAGAGAGAGAGAGAGAGAGAGAGAGAGCGAGAGAGAGTGCCCGAGTGCCCCCAAACCATAAGCTTTCAACCAAACTAAACCCCAACCCCTTGCTTTCTGTAAGTCAAATAACCGTGGACACAGTACACTTCTTGGTCTTTGCTGAGGCTGGAGTCATGTGAAACCAGACCCCCACATCGTGCCCATGATGCGAAAAAAACAGAAATGGCGCTTTACACTGCAGGGTAGAATTGCTTCGGCAAATCAAGGCCTCCATAGCCCCCTCAAGGAACCACATTTCTTCTCGCAGGGAGTGTTAGCGAGAACTGTCTAGCGTGACAGAGAATCCCTGAGTACTTCTATACCTCGACCCAAAAGATAATAGAAGCCCAGCAGGTCTTCTGGATGTAAGGCGTACAAACTCTAGACGTCCTGTCACTTTCACCAAACTCTGGAGATGAAATCACCAACTAATCCTAAACCTAAAGCGCTACATTTTGTCCAGGCACTCAGACGCTCATTACAGTGGGTGGAGCTCCTCCTGCTTGGCAGGTGGCAAGCGTCCAGCAAGATATTGTAGCTCCCCTAAAAAGGGGGACCCTAATATAGACCCCAATATGTTATAAGCCCTATTATGGGGACCCCCAAAAAAGGCAGCCTAATTTTGGGAAACCACAAATATTGTTCGTGCTGAGGTTTTTGAGTTGGAGTTTCGCAATAAATCGGGCCCAAGAGATTCCATAGTTCGGCCATGATTTTGGCCTGAGAATGCAACGTGTCTCGTTGCTTGAGCGGTCTAATCGGGAAGTAACCACAACTGAACAAATATGCCTTCAGGAGCCAGACCAGAATTCATGAGATACTCAGTCAACCTTTACTGGATTGCTGCTAAGGAGTTCAATCTAAGTCACTATATTGGAAAACCATGTTACTTACTATCTACATATATATATATATATACCTAGTATGGTAACTTAATCTAAGTTCCTTAGCAACTACTCAGTTTATCAAGGGTATAGTCTCCTTGTGCATCTGGCAGTTTGGGATTGTCATGCAACGAGCAGGGGGCAGTACCCAAGTGATTGGTCGTGTTATTTGATTTCGGGACCAAGGGCTGCCGCCGCTGTTTTTGTTGACGGCTGGAAATAACATCATCCATAGACAGCAAGTTTGTGCGTGCCATCTGGTGTCGGTAGCTGCCAGTTCAACATCAAGATAATGGGGCTGAAGACGAGCTAGTTTGGTGGGTGGTTCACTTTCCTCCACGCATAGGCTTTACAGATTTTCAATGAAGTTGTCCGCGTTAAGCCCATGGATGGTGCCGTCGCAGGCATTCTTTTCAGGTCAAGCGGCAGGTCGTAGGCCAAGCTAGGTAACAAATTCGCAGCCATGGCTCTCATCGCAAGCTTGGGCCAGGCAAGCACAGGAAGGATGGTGCGACTGCGCATTCTGCTTACGTCGCTGCTGGGCTGCGCTGTTACTGTTGGTGGGGCTACTGTGTTGAGGACTGTATGTAAATGGGGATTTCCCTAAATTCATTAGAATACGGAACCCCATATAATGAGGTTCCGGGTCCCTACATTGATTTTCCATTGTGGAAACAACAATTTGGTGCAAGTCCTGTTCGCAGAGGACTTTAAGCAAACAGCGTCCAGGTTGTTGTTGGCGTTTCCATGCCTATCGCTTCTGCTGGCAAGTGTTCTCGCAAACAATGATGCGTTCACCGGGTGCATGAATATCCACCAAGAGAAGCTCATCATGGGAATTCGGAGGAAATCTGTTCGTGGAGGTCCTCCATCAGGGGTATCCCGGCAGGTAAGGGAGAGAAGGAAGGGATGCTTGGCTTTCTATTTTGAAGAGTTCCTGTTATACATAGGTCTGTTCTGGAAAGCAATTTCGAAGGAAACGCCTCATTTCAGGCTTGCTCCAAAACAAGCAAGGAGATCAGGATCCTTCCCGGTCCAGGCGCGGAGGGGCTGGCTCACCCAAAGCCCTGACAACGAGGATCAAGAACACAATATCGCTTTCTGCCCTGCTTGCTGTTGTGGACCAGGAGGTAGACAGCCCGATCTTCAATGATTTCCACATGTCAGCCGTGTTCACCCAGGTGGCTTATTTCAAAAAGCAAAAAAAGATTTCATTAAGTGATGCCAGGAGTGGGGTCTGGCCCAGAATCTCAGCCAGATTGCGCAATTTGCTCCAGAAAGACGCAGTCCCGCCACGTGCCATTGCGAATGTCCTTTGGGCGCTTGTCGAAGTGTATCCCCACATTGGCGCACATGTCACTGCTGCAATCCCAGCTCTGGTAGGTCGTCTGGGAGACAAGGCAGACGTCATGAACGAGTTCGACCTATCCAATTGCCTTTGGGCTATTGCCCACCTGTATGACTCAGAACCAGCCTTACTCAATGCTGTGCAACCACTTGTGGAAACCACTTCACGCAAGGCCAACGACTTTGTTCCGCAAGCTCTGTCAAACATTTTGTGGGCTGCAGCCAGGCTGCAAGAGGCAGCACCCAGCGTCCTGGAGGCAGTGAAGCCCCTCGCTGAGCAAGTTTGCCAGAAAGTTGATGGCATGGCACCTCAAGCCTTGTCAAATATTGCGTGGTCTGCTGCTAAGCTGCAGAACAAAGCACCCACTGTCCTCAAGGTGATACCATGCATCGTTGAGCGCATACCCGCGAAGGTCAATGACATGACGCCTCAAGCCTTGTCAAACATCTTGTATGCGGGTGCTTGTCTCCAAGAGGCAGCCCCGGCTATCCTGATGTCCTTACCGTCCGTAGCAGAACGAATACCCCCAAGGGTCAGGGGCATGAAGCCCCAAGAATTGGCTAATTCCTTATGGGCAATCGCCATGCTCCAGGACGTTGCACCAGGCGTCCTGACGGCTTTGCCCAGCATCATTGCTCAGATTCCCCAAAATCTGCTCAAGATGAAGGCGCCAGAAGTGAAGATGTCTCGCTGGGCAGCAACCCAGCTCACTGATGAGGACCTCTGCTCAAAACTCGAGGCAGCACTCAGCTGACCTCAGAGGTGAACAGTGACATCTCTCTGAGGGTCCATGTACCCAATAATTGGGTACTTGGGATTTGGGTAATACTAATTATAGTACAGATTTTGGGCAAGTATATGATTATTAAGTACTTGGACCCTTGGGGTCTTACATCAATGATAGGCTCAGCGGCCCAAGTTACATCCGATGTTGTGTTTTTTTGGCGGTAAGCTGTCCTCGTATTGGTTGCAGGTAGCTTGATGATCTTTGCACTTTCGCAACTGCTTTATGCTGTCCGGATATCTGCAAACCTTTTAATGCGACCCCGGCAAGACTTGATAGACTGTTCTCAGTCACACAGCCTCCTAGCAGATGCTGTACTCGTCTAAGTGTCATGTTTTGTGGGTTGCCGCAGCCGCACCCTGCACGCTTCTGCACCAGCTCGGCACAGTGCCTTGGGGGCTCCGGGTCCAGAAGTACAACAAGCTGAAGGCATAGGCTTTGGACTTCAGGTGCATTTGCTTTAAGGTCGGGTGCTTAGATTCCCTAGGGATCCAAGTGTACAAATAGGACCTACTCCGGGGCCCTACACTCTGTAAGTATTAGCTACATAGGGCTATTTGGATCCCTAGGGCTCCACATTGAAAAATTCAGGCTTGAGGGCTTGAGAGCCTTCAGGAGCACGGCTGGGGCTTCGAGTGCAGAGCCAGGGGCGGCTCTTCGCTCCACAGCAAAGCGTGGGAGACGGATTTTGTATTCAGGAGTTCCCTTTAGGATCCAAGTAGCCCGATGAAAGTCCTATAGTGAAAGTCATATTTATAGACTTGTAAGGCACAATGTAGGTATCATTTGTGTACTTGGATCCCTAGGGTTTGGCAGGAGGTCAAAATTGCGGCCTTGTTGTAGGTCTTGGGCTTTGAGTAGGAGACAGGGCTTTGAATGCAGCAGTGTGCAGCCTTGATCGAGTAGTGTGCAAGTTACTGACATTGGCCCTCAGTATGATGCGTTCGTCCCCTTGCATGAAATTCCAGAGAACACAGTAACATCACTAAGGATTCGTTCGCAAGTACGTAGTGCAGATGTGTAGTGTACTGGAACTTGACATGGCGCATGGCAACAAGCATGTAGCCGCGCCAGGTGTATCCAGATGCGTCCGGCGGAGGGGATGAGAAAGAGGACCTTGCCTGGGAAGGTTGCAGTTAGTGGGTGTCGTTGTTGGTTTTAGGTTCCAGGCGCGTGTGAATGATGCACGTGACCCCACATTGACATGTCACTGCTCTCGTCACTGGGTTGGAGACAACAGTAGCCCAATGTTGGTAATATTCACATATATTGACAGACTTTGGGGTGGGTGATATTTGTATATTTGGATCCCTAGGGAATATTCTGTGCTGGCGCATCAAAGTCAAGCGTGAAAAAACCGACCCTGGCACTGGGATGTGGGTTTGGGCTGGATGAACAGAGCCCCGCTTGAAGTGCACTTGGGTTCACACTACTCACTTTCCTCTATTGTATAAGGGACCCGAGTCATATATAACTGGTTTTGAAGGGCCTTCAAAGTACCACCGAGTCTATATCATCCTTATGATTGCGTACTCTGAAGGTCACGGAACATGAAGGTCTTGAAAACAAGCCCATACAGTTCAAATGGCTCTCTCATGACAAAAGAGGAAGGGCTCTTGCAAGCTTTCCACATCCAAATCCATGCAAACTGCAAACTGCTCCGGAAAATCTGCTGACCAACGAATCAAAGTGTCGCCAGAAATGCGCCTCACATTTTACTGCTGCGCCCAAGCAGTGCACAAACAACATGCTTGAGAGTTGCTTGTGTGTTCCAAAGCGCCGCTCAGGGTCCAAGTCCCCAAAAGGCATATGCGCGGGCCCATGTGCGCATAGCGTCTTTTTACAGGTACTTGGACAATTGTTCGTGAAATCCTCTGGTGCCGCAGGCCCAGATGTTCGCAGTTGCCAAGTGCAAGCTGCTCCAGTGGTCTGTTACTCAGACTAGGCGTTGACGGCTTCGGGCTGAGGGATTTCAGGTCAAGGAGAGAGGCCAGGAGTAGATCTCTACCGCATGGTTTTTCCATCATTTTTGCCAGAATCCCATGTTCCCGTTTTTGTCTCTTTGATCCTGTATGTGACGTGGCATGGTGTAAAGTGTAAGAAGGACACTATACAGGTGTGTCTATTCAAACTCCAGGCTGAATGAGGAATTGTGCCGCGATCTTTCTTCGCTGCCTCTGCTTTATGCACAGGGCCCCTGTATCCGTGTGCAGCTTGGATTTATTCATACAGACAGCTACCATCTTGAAGATTCAGCCTACCGTGGAATCCTAAGCCTCAAACCCTAAACCTGAGGTTGAACAAAAAAGGCTGCTGACTTTGGATGCCATGGTTTCAGCCCATTGCCGGTACATTCTCCTTCTTGCGGACAGACTTCTCGGAACAAGGCAGCCCTAAACCCTATACTTTCAATTCAGGATCCTATCGCTATCACCACTACTACTCCTATTACTTTTGCTATTACAACTATTCTTCCGTCTTTCGTAGCCTTTGGGGCTGTAGTACAGAGCCTTCAAGCGCTCCAGACCGGCAGCATACAGCCGCCTAGAGACCCAGACTAGATGGATTAGGGTTTTAGGGTTTAGGGTTTTAGGGTTTAGGGCTTTAGGGTTTAGCGTCTAATTCAAGATGAGGATTACAGTATCTTGGAGTCTATCTTGGTGTCCCCTGCTTTTGGAAACTATCATATGAGCCATGGTCTAAACTCCCAGTATCCCCCTTAATAACCCCTATACTACTCCTCTCATAAGATCCTCTCTCTATATATATATATATGTATACATATATCCCCCTGTAAGGAGTTGAGACTCTTCCTCATATGTAAGTCCGGAACCTGACCTGCCGTTGTACTGGGAAGTTGCTGAGGTGCATGCAGTTCATCCGAGCAGAAGAGCTCTGTTCTCAGGTGCTAATTATAGTAGTCCCCATATAACCCTAATATAGCCCCAATATAACCCTAATATCACCTAAATATACCCCTAATATACCCCCAATATCCCGAAGTGTTTGGGTTATAAGGTTTTGTGTTGGAGTCACAGTTTAGTGTTGGAAGCAGGAACCTGAACAGTTGCTGATGATGCACGCTTTCATCCCTGGCATGTTTATTGTATGCTATGCCAAAGATGTGAGCCCTGGACTAAAGTTATGGTATATTTCTTAAAGGTCCCCCCTGAACCCCTATACATCCCCTTATAGGTCCCCCCAACCTAACTTTAGTCCGTAGCTCATGTATATACGTGTGGCATTTGTTGTTCTTAAGCTCTAAGCTTTTCGAGGGTTCTACCAGTCGAGCTTCCACAGGGTCGTGTGGGGATTGTCTAGGTGTTATGGAAAGCTGTACAGGGTGGACGACAAGCCTAGTTATGCAGGATCTACGTTATGAAGTTCCTCTTTACTGTAGCGAGCACGCACCGCGACAAATGACCGCTGCAAACGTACAGCTACACTAAGCCACGTTCCCACAAAACAGCAATGGGTGACCCTAAAACCTTTTTCTGTTTTGAGAGTCCTTATCCCTGACAGAACTAGAGTGCATGAGAAGAGCCACTTTAGTGTCAGGCTGGCGTCGCTCCTAGCTAAACTTCCCTTGTCATTGTCAAGGGGGCCTAGCACGTACAAGCATGGCGTATGGCCCGATGTATTCTATGACGGAAAGTAAGATAGCTTCTTTGTTTTGGGTTTGAGTTCAATCCTCTGACCCTGAACCCAAGCTTCCGCTCTAAGCACTGTAGTTTGACGATGCGAAGATCTGCTGCCATCGGAAAGCTTTGTAGAGTTTAGGGTTTAGGCTTAACTGTTTGGGGCTTAGGAAGGTCCCTGTGAAGGGCGTTGGAACCTGTCTCCACCAAGGCCAGAGATTCTAAAGCTGGCTTCCGCCATGGTAGCTCGGGCATTCTTTGGTCTGGCCACGGGTTTAGGGGTTTAGGATTTAGGGATTAGGATTTAGGGGGTTTAGGGTATTGGGATTGGGGGGGTTTAGGGTATTGGGATTGGGGGATTTATAGGGTTTAGGGTTTAGGGGGTTTAGGGGTGTAGGGATAAGGGATTAGGGTTTAGGAGGTTTAGGGCTTAGGGATTAGGATGTAGGGGCTTTAATGGTTTATAGGGTTTAGGGTTTATAGGGTTTAGGGTTTAGGGACCCTCCAATGTAGTTCTTTTTTGGGTGTGGTATGTTTTTTTGTTAGAACCCTTATTAGGACTACCAAAAAGGTACTACATTGGAGGGTCTAGGTAGGGTTTAGGGATTAGGATTTAGGGGGTTTAGGGTTAAGGGATTAGGATTTGGGGGTTCAGGGTTAAGGGATTGGGATTTAGGGGGTTTAGGATTTAGGGTGAAGGGATTAGGGTTTAGGGGGTTTAGGGATTAGGATTTAGGGGGTTTAGGGTTAAGGGTTTAGGGTTTGTAGGGTTTAGGTGGTTTAGGGTTTACCTGAAGGTTTAGAGATTGGGGTTTAGGGTTTGTAGGGTTTAGGGTTTAGGTGGTTTAGGGTTTACCTGAAGGTTTAGAGATTGCGGTTTAGGGTTTGTAGGGTTTAGGATTTAGGTGGTTTAGGGTTTACCTGAAGGTGGCGGTTTGGCTGGTTTGGGGTTGAGTGCCATTACTTAGCGCTGGAGCGGCGGACCAGCCTCCTCGAGCAGTCGCCGCCCAAGGCCAGAAGAGGCTGATAAGGGAAGTGAAGGTGGACGGATCTAGGGTTTAGGGTTTAGGGTTTAGGGATTGGGGTTTAGGGTTTAGGGTTTAAGGGTTTAGGGTTTAGGGATGAAGTACGCCAAGATGAAGAGGCACGCGGAGCGGAGCGCGAACCAGAAGGTCGAGCCGATCATCGAGAACTTGGAGTTAAGAAGGCTTTCATGAGACTCGCTCCACAGAGTCTGAAGCCCTTCGGCATTCAGAGCTTACCTGGAATAAGATTCTGGCGTACATGATACCAAAG